TATAATACAAAATATACAAAATGGTTGAATTTGTTGAACTTGTTTGTACGAACACCGGCACTGACCCATCCAGGCCACACCTGCATATAATACTTTTACACTCCCATAAGAAGTGATTTATTTTCCGTAATAATACTTCTATAACATTATAATACTTGTAACATTATAATACTTGTAATCTTAGGCACAACATTCACGCAGTCATTCAGATGGTCCTGAGCTTGGTACTGTAACCGATCTTTTCCAGCCACATTATTATAGTGTTGTAGTTCGCTTCCAGCCAGGCAATGTTGTTCTGAACGCCCTCTACTATTTGTTCAACTTCAAGAGCAACTGGCTCTAGTTGCTTGGCGTGACGCGTCTGCAGCGCTGTCAACTGTGGAGGGGGAAATATGTTGATTAGATTCACAATTTCCGAATGGAATAGTGAGTAAATTTAAGATGCCGTTCAGAGGGGAATGTGTTAAAGGTAAATCATTCAAAATATAACCATTTTCTTGTCGTGACCTCACCTCCATGAGTTCCTGTCGTGTATTAACCTTTTGTGTGGTGGAGCGGATGAGACGAACCATTATCTTATCAAAGCTGAAGAATAACCAAAATAATATCATTACATGAATATTATATCCCAAGAATTCAAAACTTGAAAGTGACACATAAGAACCAAAAGCTGAAAAATAACCAAAATAATATTATTACATGAATATTATATACCAGGAATTCAAAACTTGAAAGTGACACATAAGAACCAAAAGCTAAAATTGTGCTTACAAGCTAAAGATTTTGTCGAAATTATCTTGCAGGTACGCCCAGGCAAGAGGCAGGCCTACTTCGTTGCTGGCAATAGCACCAAAGACCCTGGAGCTGTCCTGCTTCCTGATTCCACTGCCGTCTGTGAAGGCCATGTCGAGGTACCTGAGCCAAAGAAAAAAGAATTAGTCATTCCTGTTTTACTGGAATGAACGCCATTACCTAAACAGTTGCTATTTACTTACCAACCACGAAAGGGAATAATAATTTCAATTTACAATATCAGTTCATATAATCTAAACTTTCCAAGTGTATGACATGCAATCCAACCTCGACAGGAGCCACATTTCCTTGCTGCAGCCTAAGGCAGACAGAAGTTTTTCCTTCTCAGAACCAACATTGGACTTGAGGTACTGATGCCACGCGAAGTCCCACTCGGCCTCCCCGCCCTCGGCGATGGCGTAGCAGTACACCGTTGACTTGAGGTTCGGTGAAATGAGACTGTAATGGAGACTCGGTGAAATAAAGTTGTCTCTTGACTCACCGAAATTAAAGTTTGTTGTGGAATATGGTCTGTGTGTGTGTGTGTGTGTGTGTGTGTGTGTGTGTGTGTGTGTGTGTGTGTGTGTGTGTGTGTGTGTGTGTGTGTGTGTGTATGTGTGTGTGTGTGTGTGTGTGTGATTTTATATGCCTGTGTATATGTGCTTATTCCACAAATTCATTCGCACTGTCTTTTCAAATCCTTTCAACATAAGAAAATGACTGAATCGTAATCTCACGTAAGATTATCCGGATTAGCCATCCAGGCGTGGTAGAGAGCAGACGCGCTGTCTAAGCAGTGCTGGTGACCGAGCGCGCACGCCCACACCACTGCCTTCGCTCGCTTATACCGATCCAGAAGACCGTCATCAGGATTCTCCTCGAATCCTACCGACTCGTACAGCGGTATTAGGATGTCTAACAGATAATTCTGAAGAAGAAAAACATAACAGTTAGCGAAATAAATGATAGTGAAAGAGAATTCGCAAGTCCCCCTCCTGGATGCTCAACAGTATAACGCACCTTGAGAGCGCCGTAGCCTCCCGTGCGCGCTAACATGTCCTTGAGGTAGACCACATTATTCAGAGCTGCCCACCAGGGAATGTAATCAGACTCAGCCTCCAAGTACGTCAATATTCCCAGAGCTGTCTCGTAAGGAAGCTGATCTGAAATTGATTTTCTTTGTTAATAGATGCGGGTTAAAACTTTATATTTGTTTTCTCTTTTCTTTATTTTATTTTTCTTTACATATGACACTTACGAACATACCTGCACGAGCGAGGTCCATGGCATCGTCAATGATCTGGGCTCGGTTGATAGGATTGATAACTTGGTGATCTGTTTTCAGCTGCTGGATGAGGAGGCCCCAGTTGTGGTCGTCGTAGTTGACTCTGTAGTAGCCCGTTTCCTGCAGGTTGAAGATAACCCACTGGTCCTTCGGGGGGAGGGATGAGAGGCTGATCTGGTCCTCGGCGTCCTTCATCCACACCATGGCCTGAGTCTGGTTGAAGTTGGCCTCGCTCTGGGTCGTGTACGTCAGGGGAACCCACCACTTGTAGTCATGGGTGTCGCTGGAGTTTTCATCTCTTACTAACAAAAAGCGTTCCTGGAGAAAAGGGAGAGTAGTATATTTAAGCAGTCCTTCAAAATGGTTTTCTTTCCATGATCTTAATGCCAAACAGAATAATTTCGATCGCGCGAGCCGGCCTCA